TTTTTGACATTACGTGCAGATGCAACGAATGCAGAAAAGCTGGCTGAAGAGTCTGATGAAACATATGAGTTCTTGACAACAATGTTAGAAGAAGAAGAACCGCGCACTTTGAAGTATTTCGATAAACAATGGAGAAGAACCAAAGAACATTGGATGATGTTATATCGTGGAGAAGGTGATTCCACGAATAACATTGCGGAATCACACTTTCATCAATTAAAGCAAACATTTTTCTTGGGTAAGAAAAATGAGCGCATTGATGACATCGTCATAACTCTCATCACTGTTGTGATTCCAAATGCGATTATTAAGGTTCAAGTGCGCTAATGTTTTGAATGAAGAAAAGAGCAGTAAGAATTCTTACAAGGGCAGGTAATCAGATTGTTGAGCAAAGAGCTTCAAAACACGATGAATGTTTGAAATTAATTCAACACATTTTGGAAATTGTCGAAAGCCGAAGGATTGAACCTAATGTCCTTATTCCATCTTTAAAGGCAATATTAAATTTGGCACAAAGAAGTTTAAAGGAAGAGTAAGCAAGATTAGATAATTTGGCTTTTTTTAAAATTAATGAATAAACAGTATATTTTTGAAGTGTAAGCTTATTTACCTGAAGCTATATTACTTAATATAACATTCAAAGTATTATTGCTATTTATTGGAGAACAAATTTATGAATTTTCACATGAAAATTGATAAATTTGTATTTCCTTATGATAATCAATTTTTGTATTTGTAGAGAGTCTCCCTGCATGATATCAAGACTTGGCTATTAGTCTTTATCCATTTTTGAAAATTGTATTGTAAATTGTAAGAATTTCTGAATACTACTACTATAAAATATAATTGCTTATCAATGTATATTCTCCCTGCATGATATCAAGACTTGGCTATAAGTCTCTATTCATTATGAGTATGACCCCATTTTTTTTACAAAAAGTGCCGAATTGCAACTTTGTCCCAATCTCCTTTTGAACTTCATTAGAGTTATTCAATTTGGAAAATGAACTGTAAATAAGACAATTCACTCAACAAATGAAAGTATAGTTTATTTATATTATGAAAATAATTGAATTTTGGCAAACTTATATAGTTTGCAGATCGATTGAAATTTAAAATTACTATTTGGCCAAACACAATTGTGATATTCCTATTTCTAATAGAAATTATCAAATACAACTGTACATGGCCAAATTTCAACTTCAGAAGACAATTTGTTTGCAACATTCGTCTATTTGGCCAGATACATGTAGGTATGCAATGATACAATAAGTACAATGCATCTCTATATGTGACTGGCCAAATTGACAAATATTGCAAACAAATTGTGACAAGAAATCAAAATTTGATCATATCCGATTGAAAATGATAGATTCAATTGAAAATAGAGCAATTCCAATCGAATGTGGTCAACTTCTGATTTCATATTGCATCAATTTTTTTGAGTCTTCAATTTTCATTAAAAATTTTAAAAATCTAATATATAGTATATAGGTATATATTTAATATCATTTTTAGTGAAACAACGATTATTACTTTTTATTGACACTTTTTGTAAATTATAGATATGGAGTGGGTTTCTCAATTCTCCTTATATACCCACTTCCGGCCCTATTTGAGTTTGTTCATAAACTCAAATAGGGCTGTAAAAAATATAATTATATTACAGCGGTCGCCTATCTTTATTGGATAGGCGACCAAATTTCAAAATCTCAGAAATACGATATATTTACAAAATAATGGCAGCCACATGTAAATATATGGCTGCCATTCGATATTTACCTTGTTTGAAGCTTGCTTTTTCAGTTGGTGTCAAAGAATTTTGATGCCAACTGAAAAAGCAAGTTTCAAACAAGGTAGATCGAAAATTTACGATACAATACATACAAAAGCCTATTTGCTTTTGTTTTTGAATGCGGTTGTCGAATCGTTTTGATAGCCCCATTCAAAACCAAAAGCAAATAGACTTTTTGTGTATTAATATGGCATATCTTCACAATATAAGATATGCCATATTAATAATTACACAAAAATTCAAACGATAAATCTAGCACAAATAATTTTTAATGATAAGATACATTTTAATACCACATATATAACTACCACAATAAACAATATTAATATGATTAATATTACAGAGTTTTGAGTCAGATCAGAATCAACTTATGAGCACTTTTTGAGATTTGAGCTTTAATATTTCGATATTGATATTACCACACCAAGCATATTATATATATGTTAATTTTAAGATATTTTGAAAAAATTGAATATCATAAATTGTGAATATACTTCTTTATTTATAAACGCATACACATATTAACTATACTTATATAGGACTCACACATACATATATATAAATAGCTCAAACACATTTTGTTGGTCTCATATAATCTAATGCCTAAACAAAAACTCATTAAATTCATATATAACACTCATAGAATCATTTATACATATCATAACAATATGCGCACACTGTGATATTAGTAAAAAACACATAATTAGGAGAGCATTAAAAGATGCAACCTTTAGTTTTTTGAAACCACTATATTTGATTATATAGGATAATCCGGTATCTAGTAGCGGACATATCTGTATAATATTAGACCTAAAAAACCAATATTGAATGACTTTTCCATACAATACCATTTTTGGTATGCAAAATTTGGGATTCTCACTTTTTCTTTGCAAAAAATGGGATATTCCCATACAAAGTTCAAAAACTTCGGTGCAATCAGATCTGATTGCACCGAAGTTTTTGAACTTTCTCGAGGGAATTAAAGGGTGAGAGATATATAGTCTATCTATATATCTCTCACCCTCTAATTCCCTCCCTGACAGCGGGAAACTTTGTCTGAATGTTAAACTATTCAGACAAAGTTTCCCGCTGTTTGCGAAGGAATTGCTGGCTATGATGTACTGATTCATGATCAGTACATCATAGCCAACAATTCCTTTTAAAATTCGTAGAAATTTTTTCGATTATTAAATTATTCATATAATTTTTTTCAAATTTTTATACAAGACGATAGCTTACGAGGCTCCGATTCGAGATCCGAACTTCGTAAGCTATCGTCTCATCTCAAAAAATTGCCCCAGCTATATCCATTAAAGTGTCACTTTTCTATGTAAAGTGTCAGGATTTTTTTTGATCCGCGACACTTCTATATAAGGTTGGGTTGAAAAATTGGGGGCTTCAAAAAAACTCGTACATGCCTCAAAAACTGAGAGGAATGATAGATTTTCGACGATAGGTTTTGTAAAGTGAACGATAGGATGACAGATTTTTGACGATAGGATTGAGAAAGTCTATTGAAAAGTATTCAATTTTTGAAAGGTACGGACACTCCCTTCTAACCAAAATTTTGGCCTTAAACTCCATCTGCAGGCTATGCATATTATGTATATGTAGAATACGTAGTTTGGAGAAAATCGGCAAATACAATCTAGAGTTATATAATCATCCAGAATTATCGAGAAAAATCTCTTAAATGTCACGATGATACAATCCAGTGCAAGTAGAATATCAGTTCTATATCATAAAACGAATTATATATTAATATAATGCCGTAAATTTGATTCAATTTACAATATTGGTATAAAATTGAAGCTTACTTTATCATGCACGTAGTACTAACAAGTTCAAGGATCTCATATGTCTACTGCAATTTTAACATTGCATATCGAAACTAGTAATATGAAAATAAATAGACTAAAAATATGTTTTATACTGTTTTCTTCGACGTGTTTTACTGTTTTAGCTCGTGTTTGTGAACATTGTAATACATTTTTTATAAAAATGCATATTAATTGGTATGATATTTGTGATCAAAAAAATGATTATAAAATAAACATAAAACCCTTCATATTATATGCTATTAAATAAAGTTGCGATACTCTTTCTGTTCTGGGTCATGGTTGAAAATTCCAAAAAAAATTCAAAAAAAGAAAAATTAAAATCAAATATTTAATTTTTCATATGAAAAAATAGATTTTGAATAATTTTTGGAAAACCAACTTGTTGTATTATTATCCAAACTTTGAAGTTAAATCCTTTTGAAGTGCAAAATTGCAATATTTTTTGATTCTGATATTAATTTTTTTCATTCTTCAACTTTAAGCTGATCAAATCTCAGTAATTATGATAAAAATGATAAATATCATACAAATTGCAGGTAAAATTAATAATGATTTTATTTTTATAACAACAAGTCAATAGAATAAATATATCTAAGTGCATTCGTAAATTCCTGGTAATGGTTATTGATTATGATATCAAACAATAGCAGTGTGATAAGATTTCAATTTTCAATTTGGAATGAACCTCATGAAATCCAAGAAATTGTTTGGCAAACAAATATAATTCGGTAAGAAAAGTCAAAATACTTCTGCAAAACTGCATCAATGCATTTTAACATCGCAATTTAATCTCTACACAAAAATTGTATTGACAGATTTACTGTATATTTCAACTGTGCATTTACCATTTGAATGCGATTTATATATCTGATTATCTAACAAAAATTTTGGCTGGATACTATCGAATCGAAATTTCATTTTTAATCTATGCTTTTGTAAACGCGATTCTTGGTTCCAATCATTTTGGAAGCTACCCTATTACTGTGAATAGTTTTTAACGACATTTACTGAAATTGTAAAATATAATCAATCCATAGAGAGATAATTCGAGTTAACATCCTATTACAAAGTATATGTTGCTATGTTCTGTTGCAATGCCCCAATGATGGCTTGCTTAATATAATACATAGGGAGTAATGATCCTTGAAAATACCCTAGCATTTTTTAATAAAATAAGGTTAAAGAGTGTCCCTACCTTTAATTTTTGAGGCATGTACGAGTTTTTTTTTAATGTACGAGTTTTCAACCCGACCTTATTATGAATATCAAATTAAAATAGGAAAATTCATAGGTTTATAAATTAAAATTATAAATTATAGAATTTAGTAAACCTATCGTGCAAAATTTTGTCAGTTTTTCAGAAAATGGAGCATCCTTTTGAACCTAATTTTACTATCATGAATGATCTCTCCAATGGATTCCTTGGCAAGACATTTCTTCTCAAGCATAACGAGAGTAGCGGCACGTTTGTTTGCAAGATGATTTCGAAGGAATTTCTTGGAAATTCAGATATGGTAAAGGCGTTTATTGATAAAATCAAGCACTTGCAAGATCTCAATCTCACTTTTATTGTTAATTACACAGATATTCTCGAAACAGAAACAACCATTTACTTAATTCGCCCATATTTTAACTCGCAAACACTTTCATCTTTTTTGCAATCTCCAGATAAGCAGCACGATGTTAATATTGTTGCATTATGGAAAACAATAGCGCGCAGCATTATGATATTGCACAACAACAACATTTCTTCTCTTCCAATCAAACCGTCAAACATTCTTATTTTCAATGAGAAATTCATTAGTTTAACAGACATGTATGAAATAAAGAGCAACATTCGCTGGTCATTGGAGACAATTGATAGGAAACACTTGTTATTCATTCCGCCAGAATTTTTCACAGATTCAACTAAACTTGGCCCCAGGTCAGATACTTGGTCCCTAGGCGTTTTATTTGCGTACATGAAAGGTGCTACTCTCCCTTGGAATTGCTCCAACGTTTTTACTATGGTGAAGAAAATTACTAATGGAGAGCTGCCAACTGGCCTTCCTGAAGATTGTTCTGCAAACGTAGAAAGAATGCTTCAGGTTTCTCCAAAAAACAGACCACAAATTGAAGACGTAATCTTTGATGATAATTTCAGAACACCAAAAAAGCGAAGACAGAGCGAACCCTTGAAATCTTCATCTACATTTGATATTTCAAGACACACTCCACCAGTATTACCTGTAATGCTCTCTTTATCTAAATATCGTACTTCACCTCAACTTACATCGCAGACAAGTGAATCGACTATACTTATAAGACGCAGATATTACACTAAAACTCTATCAGAACCAAAAAGCAAACCTCCACTCCCACGCCCAATCTTAAAGAAACCAATACGTGCTGTGACATCTGATCTCTGAAAGTATTTTTGTTTTTATTAATATTATTACTTATATTGTAATTTTTTTGTCAATAAAAATTTGTTTTAATTTATTAATAATATATGTTCAAAAAGAGCTCATAACTGATTAATGTACAACAAAACAAACATTTTATTACAAAGAATTAGAAACTACTTTCGAAATTGGTATGAAGTGGACAAACAATTAGAGCTAGCTCTGCTCCGCATGGAGAATGCAAATAAATTGGCTTTAAATTCATATGTTGGAAAGAATTTGCTGGAGCTCTTGGTGGAACATCCGTATAAAACCAAAGAAGGCCGAATGTACACAAGAAGCACCCAATTTCCATAATCAATGCGCATACAAATTCTGGAATTCCTGTAAGGTAAAGGATAATGTATATAGTAAGCGTAATTAAGGATAAAGAGTATGCGAAAGAAACGACTTTTCTTGAGCGTTTGATTTTGTTCATTAGGGATGGCTTCTCGGAAACGAGTGCAATTATTCGATGGGCTTTTATCATTGAAGTAATACCGATTGAAATGTACCAGACAAGGCCAATAACAACAATTGTAAAAGAAAAGATTAAGAAATTCTCTGTGCGAACCAGAGGAATAATAATTATTCCGGTTGTAACCAAAAGCGAGGCACCAATTATTTCAATATGCTCCCTAAAGGAAAATTTTATACGGAAAATGTTGCATCCGCTGCACAGAAATAACAGACAACTTGTTAAAGCTGAATAATAAATAATATCCAAAAAGTGAGATAAGAACCCAAGAATCGAAGGTATTTTATCTGTTTCTGATAGTAACGTCCATGTGTAGTACCACACATACAAATTCAAGCTCCGAACAAGCTGTAGCAGCATGAAAGTGGTATGTAAAGGGTAATGAAAAACGTGCAATACTTGAGACCTAGAAAACCAATAGATAAATACAAAAATGTACATGATCGACATTTGCATAAATAAAGGCCGAAGATATTTATTTCGAGTATCTAATTGGGTGTCTGGATTTGAAAAAGTTCCCTCTATCTGAAAATTGGCTTGCTTGCTTGTGCACATGATCAGATATAGCTTATAAATGCCATCTGATTGAATTTGACCTCTTAGGGATATAGTTTCATTATCTGAAAATTTTGAAACGTTAAAATGTTTCATATATTGATCTTTATGTTCGCAATAATACGCAAACGATCGTTCTCTGTAGTTCTCTTTAGATAAAAATATTCGAGAGGATGGTATTAATTTAGACTTAATTGTTAGGTTATATGTCCCGCGTTCTTTGAATCCATAAGTTGTTACGACATTTGTGGAAAATGATGCCGTAAAAACAATTTCAACGCGATGACTTCGACAGAATTCTGGTAACATAATAAAGAGAAGTGCTATCATTCATCAGGCACTTTTCATTTTACAAAATTTCTGCAATTTACATATCGAAGGCAACTCCTCTTCATTTTTCCTAGGGTTACTGATCGCTTCCTTTCTGCTCGTCATACAGGAAATGAAAAAAAAAAGATTAGTGGAGTCTAATTTATTACTCCAATTGGCAACTATTCTCCAGAATTATGCAATTTAAAATCAACTTCGTTAATTTTAATTATATTGCAACAGTACTCCTATATGTATATAATATCAAGATTGCACTTGCCAAAGCCCCATATTAAAAATCGAAATTTTGCATCTCGAAAATGCGACCACAGAATTCCTCTTAATTTTGAATAACTTACTTTTACCTTATGATACATATTCAAATAACTTGAATATAGAAAAAGCTACTAAAATTTGAGTAATTTATTGCAAAAAAAAATCGGCTTTTATATATAAGTTACTTATGAATTACAATGGTCTCTATAATGAATGTACATTACCGCATACAATCGTTTGATATTTCTGATTTCAATTTTATACATTTTGACTAGAATATTCATAACTCAAATCTAGACGATAGTTACTACATTTATGCGAATACAGTACGTTTCCATTCATTCATTAAAATACAAATTTTGTTACGGGAATAATTTTTTTTACAACAATAAGGCATGATATAAGGATGTCGGAATTGCCAAGCTTGGATAAGTGAAGTTTTTAAAAACTTCTTGCCATTAGATGGATAATAGTCAATTTTTTTTTTCAATTTTAGTGAGCGGAACAGAGACACAACACGCTTTGAAATCACAAGACACATGACTTTAATGATTAGAAATGCAATAATATTGCATCTCTTTATGCTCAAACAGATTCTATTCTGAATTACCCGAAAATATTGCAACCGTTATGCATTGCTACCAAATTTTTCTACTGTCTACTTAACACACTCATGCTAGGAACTCCAAATTCTTCAACTATTTACTCTAAAAACTTATAAATGTTCATCCAAATCAAGCAGTATTTCTCCTCGAACAGGCATTGCAGAAACTTACGAATAAGTAATTGTTTGTCATACCAAATGATGCTCCTTTTCAGCTACTTGTTTCTCTTATAATTGTTCTCATTAGTAAATCATAACTTCTCAATTTTCTCCAACAATAGATACTACCCATATATCCGAGCTACCTGGATGTTAGTTACCTTATATCTCGGATAATATGAAAAATTTAATTATAATATCTCATAATTTTCACTTAATGAGTTATATCAAAAATTCACTCCATCATTTCGATTTTTTAGGTCTTTCCGGACCTTGTTGCATTATTTATTTTTATCTATTTTGTCGAAATCACAATATATATCTTGAACTCATTGGTGAATAAAATCATGATATTATTGATTGTTTTCTAGATATTTACAATAGTTTCTAAACTTGTGAAGATAATCCTTAATTTGAACCAGAAATAATTTTATCTTACTAACAATGGCTGGTTATCTATATAGGATAATATATTATTTTTGATAGTAAACTATAACTGATTTATAATTTTGGAATACCAACTTCTTTTCAACTCTATATCTTTGAAAAAATGTTATTTGATTTTGCTGTATAATTGACATTTTTTAGTAGAAAAATTATAGAATAACAAAAATAAAAAGGTTTTAGCGATTTATAACACAATAAAAATGGTTTATTTCTCTCTAAGATATAAATTTTAAAAAAAATAACCTAATTTTTCGGGGGAAAAATTGAGAATTGAAAATAAATTTATCATTTTGAAGAAAATTGCTTAGGCTATTTCTAAAATGGAAAAAATTTGGAGAAATTCACCAAGGAGAACCTCTTTCTAGATGTCCAAGGCAATTGCTATCAGTCAAAAAAACCTCGAAAATTTTAAATATTGATATTGATTTTCATCAATCACTTAAAATCGATTGTTTGCAGCCGATGTTATCACACATTATTAAATTATAATATATTTGAACATATTGTTAATCGTTTTTGAAACTTTTCAACATTACGCGCAATTTAACAATACTCCAACTATCATACACAGTTGCTATTACTGCATTCTCATTTTAAGAAGAAAGGATTATTAAACTCTAAGATATAACGATTTATTTACCCAATTCGAAAAATGTTTTTAATTATAAATCCTTATTTGTGCATCGGATGTAGAAAAACGAGTAAAGTGTTACCTCAAAAAAATACCTGAAAGCAGCCTAATCAATAAACAATTTTACTTTTTAAACATCGAATTTTGCTCATCTTGAGTGATCATTTTCGCTTAATTTTCATAATACAATAATACATATGCGTTATCAAGTAAAATATGGATATTTTAGATGATCATAATATATCTAGAATTCAAACGAAAGTCATTCTATGAGTCCATACACGCTATTACTTTATTTCATATGTCAAGCATAATGGGAACAATTTTGGTCGATATCTTTGTTGTCGACGAAGTTCCCTTTTTTTTACCATTTGAAATTGAATCATTTGATATTTTTGTCAAAGGATTTATGATATTTCTGATATTGTGTATTTGGTTATAGTGAAACTAGAGTTACTCAATGGCTGGATAATTATTTCTTAAAAAAATAGACTCAAGAAAAGCCTCATCCTATACTAATCACAAAATCCAAGATCCAAAATTGAATTCTTTGCTCACGAGCTTCTCCGCGATAAAATTTAAATTTTAATTGGAGAGAAATGAAGTATTTTATCAATAATTATAACTTACAGATGCTGAATAAAAAAATCGAAAATTTTGATTTTAAAAAACAAAATGGAGAAATTAACATGATATTCTAAAAACAAATGGTGTGGTCTTACCAAAGAAAGCCTCTGGATCGAAAGGTGTATCATTAGGAACGATTGGGATCGAGTTCCTTCTGGCGACATGCTTATACTGTAGATTTGGCACATGAAATTGTTTTGGCATCATCCTATACACGTTTAATTGAGGTTGCTCATAGACATCTGGATTATGAGTTAATTCGTAAAGAACTATATCATTCGTAATAGGTGCATTTTCAACGGTTGATAAGCAAAGATACCAATAGATTTGATCTGGAGTTCCCTGCTTAAGAACTTGCAAAGCGTTATAAACTGCAATGGATATTGCATGATAATTATGTTTTTCTGGTAACGGTTGTTCAGCAAACCAATACGTTCCATCCGGAAGTGCAGAAAATTCAGAAGAATGAATTGTTAAGAATCGTAAAAATAATCCTGCATCGACTTCTGGCAAATCGGTATTCTGCGCAAATTGGTGAATTGTCATTGGACCATTTGCAGTAAGCATAGACTCTATTGAAGAAAGTATAGCTGTATCAGAAATTGAAACTGTTGTTTTGAATTTTAATGCCCATTTAACTTGCCCAGCTGCGGCGACTTGTACAAAAGTATCATCATCTTGCAAAACACTCATAGTTTTTCTTCGAGGAACTGAGTTTGCTGGAATGTAGCCGTCTGGATCTACATTAACACAAGCAGTACTAGATTCGAGGAGAGAATAAATTTTATCTATGGAGAGAATCGCAGTTTGTTCTTCTTTAAATAATGCAACGATCAATTCATTTAAAGAATCAAAACGCTGCTCCATGATAAAAAAAAAGTTTTGCATCGTTTTCAAAATTTGTGACAATTACTATCAAAACATGATTACAGTGTCAAAATTCAAAATAAAATCATCTCTCCATTATTTAATCTTTACATTAACGAGTTACATATTCTCATATTCATGTACGATAACTGCAATTTTTTAAAGAACACTCATGTACTCATTCTTTTTATTTTTCTGCAAATCATCCTTAGTTACTGATGGAAATGTGCAATATACAATTGAAGACTCTGAAATGGAGATCACTGTTGTGCAAAACTCTGGGTCAATAAAATCAGAAATTTTATTATCAATGGATAAAACAAAATCGATATCCAAATTAACAATATCAGGACATGTTTCAATTCCTAGTTCAATATTTAGGGAATATAAACAACTTAAAGAGGTTATTTTGAGTTCATATGTTAATAAAATTTCGGATAATTGCTTTAGGGATTGTTCAAGTCTTATAAAAGTATTTATCCCTCATACAATTGAAGAAATATCTTTTGATGCTTTTCGAGATTGCATCAAACTTACAGAAGTTTTGTTCGAAACAACATCTGCAGAAAAAATTAATCTTCACTATAGGTCATTTGAAGGATGCATTTCAATTAATCAAATTAACTTACCTTCAGTAACATTATTAAATACAAGTTGTTTTTATAATTGCTCTAGGCTTGATAATTTTGTTGTGCCTTCAATCAATACTTACATTCCTATTAAATGCTTTATGTTTTGCACAAATTTGAAAACTATTACTCTACCCGACTCAATAAAACAAATCAAGGACTATTCTTTTGCAAATTGTGAATCAATGATAAATTTTGCATGTCCAAAGAGCCTTAAGCATATATACGCCAATTCATTTAGAAATAACCATCATTTACAATCAATAACTTTCGGAAATATGCTCGAAACGATACTTGGTACAGCCTCTGCACAATGTATATCGCTAAAAAGTGTTTCTTTCCCTTCATCACTCAAATTCGTTCATTCAAATTCATTTTCTTCTTGCAAACAGTTATCTTCAATTAGATTTGCATCTCCATCCATTATATCTTATGGGTCATTTATTGGAATTTCAAAACAATGCGAACTTTTGATATGTACTTCAAATTATCCAAAAATTGAGCCAACATTCTCGTTTACGGATGCCTTTCCAGAAAACATAAGAATTTATAGTATTGCAAATTCCAGTTTTTATGAAAGAGAAGTAATTAAAGTAGATAATTGTGAATTTCCAACACCATTTCCAACGCAAAAAACTATCGAGCCAGATCCTAATCAGAATGGAATGTCTGGGCAGAAGATAGCTGCAATATCTTGTGGTATAATATTTGCAATCATTGGTTGCTCATTGATAGGAGTAGCTATTTACTTTTATAAAGCGAAAAATCCTAAAATACAAAAAGAGGATGTCTATATGTATACAGTATGATTAATCCTCTTTACAAAAAAAATACGTTTTTTGCACTCTGAGTCTTCTTCTATAGATCTTTTTTAGATTTTGAAACAATGAAAAGATAAAGTATGATCAATGTATGCTATATTTAAGTTTATTCATAAAAATATCAATTCTATCAAGAGAAAAAGTACATTTAAGTACAAAATTGAATAGTTGTAAACTAAGGCAGTGAGCCCTTAAATATTGTATAAATTTTTTACAGCTCGAGTTAGAAAGGTATTATATAATTGATTATTTTGATATACTGTTGTAAACAGAAATTCATCAAAAGTGACACCTCAGAAAAGCTAAAATATTGAATTTTTGGAACTTTTGATAGAGCACGTTTTTAAATATTAATTAAAGTAAATGTATATTTTGTAAAGATTCTTTTTAATAAAAAAAAAATAAAATTTTGAAGAAGAACACAAAATCTTCTGAAAAATAATATCGCATAAACTCATATTATTTTCTAATATATAACTATTTTATATAAAAATCAAATTCAATGATCTTAAAAGCGAAGGATAAACCTCAAAATTTACGAATATAATGAGTGGGAATATAATGCTTATCTATCATAAAACCATATGAAATATCAATTTTTGCTTTACACCTAATTTTTGACGACAATTAGCAAAAAATGTTAAATGTTAACACTCAGTCCATTTGAATATGAAAAATAAAATTGACTTTGATTAAATGTTTTTATTTATCATGCAATTCTTCTTGCGACCAAAGATTTGAATAAAAGTTCAAAAAATAAGATAGCTTAAAAAATAATATACGGTAGTGTTTACTAATAGATGAATAGTATATAAATTCTATTAAAATGGATTTGATCCAAAAAAATATAAAACCAAAAATAATTGTTATAATTTAAATGAAGAAGTAATTTAAAACGATTTTATTTATGATCAAATTTTATATATTTTTTTGGATCAAATCCATTTTAATCGAATCTATATACTATTCATCTATTAGTAAACACTACCGTATATTATTTTTTAAGCTATCTTATTTTTTGAACTTTTATTCAAATCTTTGGTCGCAAGAAGAATTGCATGATAAATAAAAACATTTAATCAAAGTCAATTTTATTTTTCATATTCAAATGGACTGAGTGTTAACATTTAACATTTTTTGCTAATTGTCGTCAAAAATTAGGTGTAAAGCAAAAATTGATATTTCATATGGTTTTATGATAGATAAGCATTATATTCCCACTCATTATATTCGTAAATTTTGAGGTTTATCCTTCGCTTTTAAGATCATTGAATTTGATTTTTATATAAAATAGTTATATATTAGAAAATAATATGAGTTTATGTGATATTATTTTTCAGAAGATTTCATTCTATATGCCTATGAAAAGTACTCTCAAAACTAACTTTTTCCTAATTATAATTAAATCTAGAATATTGTATTATGCTTAGTATTATTTCATTTTTCTCATTCAATTTAGAATTTACAAATGTCAAAAAATTGAGAGCGTCACTTTTGATGAATTTCTGTTTATTACAATACACATTAAAAATAGTACTATTCTATAATTATCAAATTTGAATATTTCTTTCAAATTTTGAATATTAATTTTCAGATGCTTTCAAACAAAATTTTATTCAAGTGAATGGACACATTTCTTGGATATGATTACTCATGGGCTGGCTTCATCGATTATAGCAAATGCTATAAAGAAGTAAATGTAATATGGCTTGCTGTTGGCCTTTGCGTATTTGTAGGAACAATAATTTCTGTTATACCACAACTGTATAATTATGTAAAATTACGATCAAATTACGGAGTAAATCCTATAGCGGTGTTTATGATAAATTTTAGTCAATGGGTGCAGACAATGAATTATTTCTGCCTTCATGCCGCTGACTTTACCGGCCTCACTACTGCGTCATTCCAAGTATGGCTCCCAAGATTAGTTTCGTTTTTAAATATATTCTCATTATGGTATATTTATCTCGGAAATACGTTCTTAAATCTTATTTTTTTCGATAAAGAGCCTCATCCAAATAGACGTATCGAATCTATAAGAGTGGCTCGAATAACTAATGTATTTTTCATGGTATTACTTCATGTCCTTTCATTTTTGGCAATATTAATTTTTTACTGTATTGGCGCGCCAAAAGGTTTTGCATCAAAGCCTCAGTTCTACTACGGCTCGATTTTAGGCACAATGGGTGGCGTGATTACTGTAATTCAATACATACCTCAGATAATCACAACATGTAAAGTTCAAGGGCCTGGATCATTGTCATTAATACTACTTTGTATTCAAGCTCCTGGTGGTCTTACATCTGCGGCTTTCTTGATTTTTGGTACAAGAGAAAACTGGACAACTTGGTTCCCAACTCTCATGGGTGCTCTACAACAATGCGTTCTTATTGTTATTATTTTATTCTTCATGTGCAAAAATTGTGGTAAAAATAAGGGAAATGAAGAAGATTTCGCTAATAAGGATGATCTCGATGGTAAAGATGAAAATTCATCAAGCGATCCTCAACCAGTAAGAGACCTTTGAGGGTTTCAATATATAGATGTATTAAATAAATAAACGACAAAAAATATTTTTTTGGAAGTTGTCACTTTTACAATTGTTTTACACTGATCGAAAAATATAATTAATTACAGTTAAGCTTATATATCCTATCATTATTTTTCTAATTTCTTATCGTTAAAATCCAATTCAAAATAATCTCCAAAATTTTCTATGTCAATTCCCTCTTCTTTGGAATATACTGATAATAAATTTAAAGATCTAAAATCTCCACAGAAGAGGGCTCCTCGTTCTAATGAATCCGTTGTCGATAAATCGAGACTCAAAGAAGAAAAACCAAAGCGATCTAGAAAAAAGGGGCCAAAATACATATGGGTCAATGTCAATCAAGCCTATTACCCCTTAATCCGTGAAGCTCTGGAGTCATATGGATTCAAAATTACTGAATCCGATACAAAAGCAAATTTATTTTGGATAAATGCAAACGGATCAACCGAAACAGCATCTGAATTATTACCATATCAATTTTATAATCATTTTCCCGGCACAGTTTCAATATCTCGAAAAGTTGACTGTGCAAAAAATTTAGAAACCGTCTCTCATTTCATGCCAGAAGCGTATTCGTTTAATCCAGAAACATACATTCTTCCATTACAGTTTAATGACCTCAAAAATCATATGCTATCCATCAAAAATTCTTTAAAAAGAACATTTATAATAAAACCTGACAAAGGATCTCTTGGAAAAGGCATTTTCCTTATTCAAGATCCAAATCAAGTCCAGGACTATACAGAGCCTGCAATTGCTCAGAGATATATTGACCCATTTCTCATTGATGGGCTTAAATTCGATCTACGAATTTACGCTCTAATCACATCAATAGAACCATTACGACTGTATATTCACAATGAAGGTCTGGCACGTTTTTGTACAGAACCGTATAATGATCCAAAACCTGACAATTTAGACCTTGTTTACTCGCATCTCACTAACTATAGTCTAAACAAAAAGAATGAGCACTTCCATGCGAATGAAGTCGTTGAACAAGAAGAGAAAGGTCACAAAAGGTCCTTAGAAGCAATATATGAAGCCGTTCGAAAGAGCGGCCACGATCCAGATAAGCTGAAACATGACATCGATGAAATCATTCGTCTTACAATTGCATCTGTCCAACATTTTATTGCATCTCAGTATAGAATCGGCGTTGTTTACAACGATGGCAAGAGCAGGTGTTTCGAAATACTCGGATTCGACATACTACTTGACAAAGACTGCAAACCGTGGCTCTTGGAAGTGAATAACAAGCCGTCAATGGGAGCGGATTCAGAGTTTGACAGAGAAGTTAAGACGTCTGTGATACATGGCGCAATGCATATTATAAATCTTCAGCCGAACTTCAAGAAATGCGTGGGACAAAGAATTATGGATTTATCCAAGACGAAATCAACCAATTCTACAAGATCTACTACTTTTTTCGACCCAGAAGGAGAGACACTGCGGGCAAAAGAAACAAAATGGAGGCAATTATACCCTCTTAACGATGGAGATACTTCCGCCATTGAACAAGCTTTAGCAGTTGCAGCCCAGGCAAATGGATACAAGAGGAAAGAGAAGTTGCCAGCGTCAGCATCCCAAAATTCTGTTCAAATGCCACAACAATTGCAAGCTTCCACCACTATGCAGTTGCAGAGTCCATTGAAGAAGAGAACAATGCAAAAAATCGTAAAACCAATTCAGAGAACAGATATCAAACCAATAACGGCGTCTTCTCCCACGAGAATCATTCAAAGACCTATTCGCCAAGCACTCCCTCAGTTCAAAGTTGACGAATCTCCAATGATCTTGCAAATGAAGGGATTTCCACCAAATATAATTATAGATGAGGAAGAAAAAGAGAGAATTAAGTCAATTAAGCAACAGGCAGCAATTTCTGGTTCACAGACAGCTTATCAAAGAGTTAAGAACATGCTTTCGGTTGTTGGCGGCGCTCCGAAGAGAGTTGATCCTCAAATACCAATGCAGCCAATAATTGGACAGAGTTTTGCTGTTAGACAGCCTGAAAGAGCTTTCACCAAATCGTTTGTATTTCGAAATTATAATTTACCTGATTTAGTTGTTTAAATTTTATGTTTGTATGTTATACTTATTATTGCAATTCTAATTTTTCATTTCATTCATGAATCTAATTGATTTAAAATTCAATAGAAGAATATGAATATATAGAGAATGTTTCAGGTTCAGCACATCAGAGATTCTAGTTCCCTCACACTAGGATAAAAAATTTTCTATTTCTGCTGAAATTGCTACATGTAAAGCGCTGATCTCGGAATAGTCTCTTACATGTAGGAATTTCACTGTACAATAACCATGGTTATCCTATTTTCGTTTTCAAGATTATGTATAAGAACCTGCCACAAAAAATTAAATCAAATAAACATAATCTTTATTTTGATTCCGAATTTGAAGGGTTCATTTCAATTAGAGCGTTTTGAGAAAATATTGCGAAGCACCAAGCAGGCCAAGAAGCTATCATATTTGCTCCTACAGCCTGGTGATTTGTACTCATCAGTTTAAAAGATTGAACGTTAAAAGTTGAGATAATATCCAAATTCTGTATGTAGTCGAGCAGCAGAGATTTTGCTGGGCAATCTGGTAAGCAATGAATGATTTTAAAATTACTTGCAATAAAATGAATCAAAATTTGATTTTCTTTTGCTTTGTGAACAATGACTTGTGCAAATATATCCACAACTATTTGCAACAGTGTGGATATCTTAGGATCGTCACTTCTGGTTATCAAGCCTTGCACAAAAATTAAAAGTGCCCTGGCTGTTTCTTCTGAAAAGTTCTTGATGTGGGGGGAAATAGTATGAATGAGGCACAGAATAGAAATCATCAGCTCTTCTGAGGATATCTTAATTAAAATCATAATTAAAATCGAAGAAATCGTTTCGTTTGAATGCTCCTGGAATTTGGCATTAACAATATTTTCTGCTTCATTGCACGAGAGCAAACTGATCAAACACGATATTGCGATGGTATGAATGTACGAAATTCCGGCTGTTTCGTAAACTCTGAGGATTAATGATAGGATCGACTCCGTGATTTTGATGCCTTCACTTCTAGATGAAAGGTATCTGTTGAAACCTGGTTTTCCAATCAAAACAAGGTTCAGAAAAGTTAATCCTTCAACTGAGAGAGGGCATTGAAAGGCAGTAATCGGTATTTCGTAGAAAAATGCTTTTTCGAGAATTTCACTGCTTGTATTTGAAATCATTTCTTTGAATAAGGAATCAAAATAGAAAAATTCTGAAATAAGGCAGATTGAATGGCAAATTATGGATTCCTTTGTAACGTTTTTGCTATTTTCTACAATTCCGCGAAGATACATATTGCAATAATTGCAAAGGTTTTCGATAAATTTTTTATATGGAAAATTAGGAATTAATAAGAAGTTTTCGTAATGTATTTCGTTTACACCACTGAATGCTTCTCTGCTGTAAAAGAGCAATAATGCGTGAAGCACATCCAAAAGGCTTTCATCATATCGAGTGGATGTTTTATACGTAGTATCCCATCTATCACTAGATTCTGGGATAGTGATGTTTTTGCAAAAGAGCAAATTAGCTAATGCTTTGATCAGGCGCTCTCCTAATGAAGGATTCCCTGAAGGTGAATTGAAAAGTCGTTGATTAAGTTCAAAAAGAGATTTGTCAATGGATGTTACAATAAAAAATGAAACTGTCAATTGTAAAACTGTATTTAATTGCTTGTAGAAAAAAACACCAATGTATTCTTTAGAATTTTTTGAAGGAAGAGTTTCTAAATAAGTAATACATACATGAAGAAGTTTTATAACATTATTTGGCTGGCTTTTCGAAATCTGTATTAAAAGTTTTGGTGGAATTCGAGCTCTATATTCTCTTTTTTGACCTAACTGTAGTAAGGTATTCCAGAATTTGATATTAATAATATCACCCCCTTCTAAAAGTTGGCTGAGGTGCTCTGAAAGTGGAGCATTTTCATAAGATTCTGTAATACCCATTTTCTAAAATTTTGACGATCATTTTTTTTTATGGTAAAAGTAAGTACAATTCTTAGTACCCTTGACAATTGCAAGAAAGAAATTCCTATCAAGGATAACTCTGAAGTTAAAGACATCATTAAATCTTTGATAGAAATGGACAGTCAATATAAAGATTTCATTTTTAAAGTTTATCGGGATGGATTAATCATCAGCGATGACGAGAAAATACTAAACCCAGATCACCCATACATAATAGCTATACTGATTCCTCTAATAATCAATATTGACGGTCAAGATGTACAGATTTTAATGAAAGCAACTGACATATGCAAGTCAATTATCAATGCTATCAAATATGCAAACCCAGTGTTGATACATCATAAAATAAGCGTTTTCTTTCAAGGTCAAGAAATAGATTATAACCAAAAAATTGTAGATCTAATGAAGCCATATTCCAAACTTACAATGACCTCATTGTATCAAGAGCTCCAGTCACCAATGGAGCGGCTCGCCAATTTAGGGTTTGATAAAATCAGTAGTCGGATAGCACTTCTTGTAACGCAAGATAATTTCGAAGAAGCAGAAAAAGAACTTAAGAACGGGAATATTGCAAAAATTATAGATGAAGCATCTTCACCAAATTTACCAATTGATCAACAATCTCCTACACTAATTGCTGTGAGGATTGCCCTTAATCCGGATAGCTTGTTTGATGTTGTTGAAGAGTTCTACAAGATATTAGGCGATAAATCAATTTTCCGTAAACTTCCAGAGTTTATTCAGATGGATCCTATTCTTAGGAAGCTAGATCTCGATCTCGAAAAAATTTACATTTTAGGAGTAATACGAAAATACATTAAGCCAGGAGATTACGGAAATCTTGTAACTCCTCGACAAGATTTCAATTGGATATATTCATTCTTCACAAAATTACAAAAATCCAATGCAATAATTATGAACATACCATCAGTAATGCGCTTATTACTCCCAGATGTTAATATGCCCGACGAATTAATTAACAGATTAATCAGCAAAGGAAAAGAAGATGGAATTGTGGATCAAAATAGTGGAGAAATAACACTGTTTGATGACTATAATGACGAGCTCCAAAATGAATTAACTGATGATGAAATAGAAACAGCAAAGACATACTTCGCTGTTTTAGTGGAATCCTACGCAAACTCAGGTGATATGAAAGCACTGGATGAGTTGGATGACTTTTTCGGCGAGTACGATTTCGAGCCAGAGTATATTGAACAAGTAAAGGAGTTAATAGACCAATACGACATCAGAGACATACCAATAAACGATTTGAAGTATATAACTGAACATGCACCGCAAGGTAATGTAGCTCAAGCCCTCGATATTTATCTTGCGCATAATAGAGATCCACATTCAATAGATGAATTAGAATAAATAATATTTCAATTATATTATAAATATCTGTTACTTGCTAATAATTAGCATATAAATAACTATTTAATTGAAAAATCATAAAGTCTACTTGCTAATAATTAGCATATAAATAAAAAAAAAACATTTAATTTAATGCTTTTTCCTTCGGAAAAGAGAGAATAATAGTAATGCTGCACCAGCAATAATTCCACCAGCTCCAACATACAATGCTGCATCATTTAAAGTTTCTTCCTCGTAGTATTGTTTGATTTCTGCAATAATTCTGCTTCTAACACCCTTTTTATATGCTGCCTGAATGGCTGATTTAGCAGTATCGTCTTGACGTAGGCGATAATAGCAAAAAATTGCGCATTCGCTAAGAATATCTTCATACCCTTGTGATTCTGGCATCCATTGAGCTGCGTCTATATAAGAAATTGCTTTGGCAACATCACGCTCGTCATTTGATCTTGATAGATATAAAGCATATTTTAATAAATTGTCAAAAGTAGCATCATCATCAAGAGCTGATTGTATATCCACTAATTCATTTTCTGAAGCGGGCTGAAAGTATGGTTGACATGATCGCATTTTACTACCTAAAACTAGTGATCGGCGTGAATTGTAATAAGCTCTCATATATATAATGGTTGATTCATTTAATTTGGAAAAGGGTCAACTTTAATGTGTGATTCATCAGAAGGAGATTTGGTAATTTCAATTTCAGAAATCTTTAGTACTTCGATCTGTGGAATGGACAAATTTGCCCAACGTCCCGTACTCCTTCGATCTTTTTCATTTGTCATAAATTTAGAGTCTGCAAGGTCCGAGTTTTTGTTAAAATTACTAAAATGTGATAATAAAAAGAGTATAAATCAAGTTTTTAATCAAATTTATCTTCAAATTAGAAGTTTAAGCAAACAATTCTAAAATTATAATTAACTTATGAGCTCTTTGAACTGCTTGTTATAAGTCTCATGATATCATGTAAATTATTACAATTCTACTGCATAATTTTGATATAAGATTCATGTTCTATGAGATAACACTGATGTACTTCTTGTTCCGGCATTTAAGAGATTTCTTAAGTTAAGATCAAATTAGCCGATTTTCTTCATACACAGTCTTCTACATATACATGCTATGTGTAGTATCTAGCTAGTGTTTTAGGGAAAAATAAGTTAATCATTTTATAAATTTCGGAGATTATACGTATATATGTATTGGCATAGGATTACATTACACTCATTAGCAAAATTGAAAACTGAGCGAGAAAATTTTGCTTGGCTACCTTTTTGCTTATTCTGAATCCATTTCCGAGAAAATACATTGTTGCAACTCCATGCATCACTCCCAGAGACAAATTGACTCTGAATAATTCAAACTAAAGCTAAAGCATTGGAGTTTGTTTTTTCAATTCATTGGAAAAAAAATGATAATTGTCACTTTTTCCATTAGAAACAAATTATGAATTCTGTCAGCACTGAATACTTTGTTGATCCTTGTGATGGAGTCGCAAATGACGGCTACGATAATAAAGATGGAGTTCTGATTGTTTCGAAAGACCAAACTATTAAAGGACCAAATGAAACGTATTTCACAATTTTGAGCCCTCTTGGCAATGGGCAGTTTGGAAACGTTTTTCAGGTTTTATGCATGTCGGCTGATATGGAAGCCCCAGTAGTCTATGCGATGAAAATTACAAAATCACAGCAGCATTATCAAGATCAAGCAAACCATGAAATAGAAATTCATCGTAGAGTACGTATTTCATCTATGCATAATTTATGCATAGATATTTTTTCAAAACTAACACACAGATTCAAGAAAAAATAGCTGCTGAAGATAGAAAATACATAATCACAATGATTATGGCATTTGAATATCACAATCATGTATGTATTGTCAGCGAATTATTATCAGTTGACTTATATCAAGTGTTAAAATATCGAAATTTCAAAGGTCTTTCAATAAGTCTTGTCAGGAATTTGTTAAAGCAACTTCTACAGGATTTAGTTGTTTTAAAAAAGATCGGAATTATACATGGCGATATAAAACCAGAAAACATCATGAGCGTAAACGGAAATAATGCAATTAAACTTATCGATTTTGGTTCTGCCAAAACAGAAGGTAATTTTTCAGATTTTTACTTTCAATCGAGATACTACAGGGCTCCAGAAGTCGTATTGAATCTACCGTATGATTATAAAGTTGATGTTTGGAGTGTTGCCTGCGTTGCTATTGAGATGTTTATTGCAAATCCGATATTTGCTGGACAGAACGAGCTATATTTATTACAGCTTATTTCTCAATACGTTTCACAAATTCCGATATCAATGATACGTAGCTCCCCAAGAAGGAAAGACTTTTTTAACCACGATAACACACTGAAGACATTAAATCAATATTGCTACGAAAATGGAATCCAAGTTCCTCAATTTCAGCCATATTTAATTTATAATACAATTTCAGAATTGATTATGAAATACCCCATTGCTCGTGCCAATAAACAAGGGGATTTTCTTCAAAAGGAGATGACTAGAAGAGAACATTTCTTGAAATTAATTCAAAAGATGCTAATTATAGATCCAAAACTAAGACCAACACCAGAAAAATGCTTAGAAGACCCATTCTTTACAATTCCTTAAGAAATTTATTTTCTAACTATTTTTTCTGATAATGTATTTTGATTAACCTACAATCATCATTTCTGGCAATTTCAATGAAATTCATGATAATACATTTCAGAGTGAATGTATTTTGCAATAAGTATTTCGGATTTTTTTTTAATTTTCTATTTTAGGGATTGTTTCTGCTCAAAATGAGAAGTTATCGTATATATGTATTTTTGTTTTGTATTATTAAAGCTATTTTTTAATTGTTTTTAAAATAATCGATCCAATAGCATTATTATTTTGGACTTTCTAGTGATGCCGATTTGGAAGTTAATTTCAATTTCGGAAGTAAATTATTTAAGTTTGGGAAGATTTTCAGGAAGATATGATGTACCCAGATTTTCCTTACTTTTACCACTCCCCATGTAATTTCTGGGGAAAACGATAATTCATTTTTTTTATGGATGAATAGATCGTTTTCCTAGAAAGGACCTCATATCTCTGGCTAAAAAGAGTGCCAGATCCTAAATAGATTATTGATCTAGTGTACAAATCCAATAAAAAGCCTATTTTTTTGGCTTTTTTGGTGCTCATTTTTTCGAAGATCTACATGAATATGGGGAAACCATCGGATTTTTTTGGTTAACCCACATCTTCATGTAGTCTGGACTATCTTTCCTCGAAGGACCTCTTTACGGGTGTAAAAACTCATAAAGTTCTCAAAAGATTCATTCTCGATCTCCATGCTGAAAGAATTTACAATAAAAAAGAGATCTACGCATCAAACTACAGCCATAAATGAACTGAACCCCTAAAGCTCAGCTCTTAGTTTATCAAAAACGTCGAAATCCTTCTCATTGCAATCAAATTTTCTCAATAACTCATAAGAAAAATCGAATTTTGATTAAGCCGATGTTATAGGTATCACAAATACTACAAACTTGAGCAATATCGAAATTGCCAGCAAAAGTTTGAAATTGCATTGCTCATATTTGTTTTGTAAACTAAAAATCTGCTTATATTATTCATTAATTTTTTATATATTATTCATATACTTTAATAAAAACAATACTATTTCACCTTAAAAATGAATTTCATAAGTCAATATTATTTTTTTGAAAATGTATCAATTTTCGATTAAAACAACATGAGAATAAAATTTACGCAAAATTATTTTAAAAAATGGTTTTAAAAATTTACAATTGATTAAGAATAAGATTGCAAGAAGTTTGGAAGTTTAATTCTAAGAAAAAAAATTCGGATATTATTCATGGATCTAAGTAATCTGATATTTGAGTATCGGCACCATGCATAAAACATATATTTATAGTTTTTTTGGATTTTTATGATTTTAAATATATTCAAATTTGGCAATCCAATAGATTTTTAAAAAATAGGTAAATAAAAATAGATTACATATGCAGCAGATTTAGAACATGAAACAAATCTTATAGTGACCCAAAAAAAAATTCATGATCCAAAAAAGAAAAAAATTGGATAAATGAGAATCAAACCTTGGCATAATGAATCATTATGTTATATGTTTCCACTACACTAAACCAGCAGTTCGAAAAATACCCTTGGTGGTTCTATTTAATAGCTACTCCCAACGATAGGCGGTGTCCCCAGCTTTAGAGGGGTGGTAAAAGTAAGGCAAATCTGGGTAAAATAAAAATTATGTTTATTCAAACACAAGAGTAAATATAGCAGGATCTGAATAAGTATATAGCCGAATTGATGCGCTTTATTATTGAAATTGATCTCGGATGTAAAATTCTATAAAATAGTGAATAAAAAGGAATACATCTGTAACATATTTGGTTTATTAATCAGAATGATACTAGTTCAATCGTAAAATAAAGATTTTTTTGTATCTGAAAGGCTAACAAGCAGGAATCATTTTACCATAGTTATGGTATTGCCGATCTATGTAATTTTATGCATTTTCCAATACGCAGAAGCGTAATGAACGAGACTTAGTTCCAATAATGATTTAACAAACGATTGTGTATTGAATAAGTTTGATATATAAATAGTCAAACATGTTGTATGTCATTCCATTGCGTTGATAGATAAAGTTTTGCATATGTTTAAGATGAAAGAACAACTTCCGACCAAGAAAAATCCTATCGAGTATTCAATTTTTTATTTTCCTGGAAAATATGATTTGCTTGTTACATGATTTCTATTCAAATTTATATATAAAAGTAATTCAAACGTATTTTTTATTTGAGAAAAAACCCTTTACAAATTTTTTCGTTGAACAAAGTTTGCATATAATCATGTAAGGAACTAAATTATAAGATTTTAATTTTTTTATTTCCTTCCTTTTTTCCTTCTTCATCTCTCAATTTCTTCCGAATTCATTCAAAATTACTTCCCGAGATTTGTGAAAGTTACAAGTTGCATTTTCCTGGAATACCTGTGTTTGGTGCCTATAGATTAAATAGCTAAAAACAAAGGTTTTCGTCGATTAAGATCTAATGTTTTGATAGATAAAAAATTCCAAAAAAAAATTTGAAAATGAAAAAATCAAGAAAATAATCGTCAAGGAAAATATCATTTTTTAGATTTTGGAAAATCTTGGATTATCTTCCAAATCGGCATCACTAGACTTTCTGTTGGAAATTAAAGCTTGCTGAGAGGAGGGAATATATTTTTCATAAATTCAAAATCTGAAATCAGAAATTGTATTTAATCTATTCTTAGTATCACAATTAGACATATTTACAAATTTCTAATCGAGGAAGTCATTGTTGATCATTTGTTTTTGTTCACAATTCTTTTTATTTCTGATGTCTGAAAGTTGGAATTTCTTGAAACAAAACATGGAAATTCCGATTGAACGAATTAAAAATTCTTGCGTAGTTGCTGTCCTCGGCAAAAGAGATGGACTTTCAGGCGATTTTGAATATTTAGTGGAACTAAAATCACCAAACGGGTTTGCCAAATGGATGATCAGTGAAGAACTCCGCAAATTAGAGTTCGGCGATGTGATTTTAGATGAGTTTTTGAAAACGAAATCTTCACAATTTTTAATTACTCCGAAAAAAATCTTACAAAAATTAAAAATAGGGGAAGTTTTCTTTTTCTATGTCATGTGGAATAACATTGGTGACGATAAATGTACATGGGAAAGCGAAAAATATCTAATTTCATTTCCAAATATAGCAGAAAAAGTAAAACGCTTAAAGACGAAGAAAGAATACGAAATAGTATCGACATATTTGATGAATTGTTTTAGATCTTCATTCAATACAATATACGAAACGAAAGAAGATGAATTTAAATATGAATCAATATGCTCATTTCTCAGAAAACTACCACTATCGAATCACCCATGCTTAATAATTACAACTCTTGACTGTCAGCCAAAATGGATAAAATATTTTAAATTAAATTCTCTTCAGCCGGCTTTTTCACCAGTTTCATTAAAAGATGAGTTCGACAAAATATTTATAGATGATGATGACCAACCAAAATACAAAATTGCAGTGTGCACTATATCATATTTGAACATCAATCCGTTTCTCCTTAATTTGTGCGATTGGTCCTGTTTTATTTTCGACCAAATCAATATTTATTCCAATAGAAAAACATTAGATGAGGTTTATAATGAAATTGACCCATTTTCAATTTTTACTAACCCCGAAATTTCAAATTCTGACCCTGAATCAATAAAATTCTTATCAACATTGATAGATAAAGAGCAAAAAAAAGCATTTTCCGCGCAATACAACAAAATCGACATTTTCAATTTTATTCTGACGAGCCATACGTATGTGGGATACAAATCACATGGGTTCATTTACGAATCTGTATTGAAGATACCGATGACACAAAAAATTACTAATGATCTTAAGGAAATCTATCAGAAAAATAATGATTTCAATGATGATCATAGCAATTCTTCAAAGCAGTGGACAAATTACAAAGAAATAATTAAAACAATGAATTACATTGGAGATACCTACCAAGGAAATACAAAATATGAAGTTTTTGTCCAGTTGCTCAAACATTTCATCAAAAAAGAAGAATACATCGTTGTTATGTCAAAGAATATGAAGAATATCGAAGAAGCACTCGATGAAAGTGAAATAGAATTTGTCAATGTCCAAGATTTGAATGAAAAAAACAAAAATTTTGTAATTCTAACAAAAACTTTGGAAATTAACATGCTATCTGATGAAAAATTCTCAAATATTATTATTTTTGACGGATCTTTCGACTTCTACTCTGAATTCAAGACTCTTGCAGACTCCAAATTTATCGAACAAAAACATTTCAACATTTTCAGAATCATCTACGAACAATCCATTGAAGACGTTCTATTCTCACGAAGAAACATCGAAAAAGAGAAAGAAGCAGATAACATGGACAAACTATCTGAAGCGCTCAGAATGTCTGGCTTTCTGCTGAAGGGAGTTAAGTCAGTGAATTACGAAGTACCACTCAACCAGACATACAGAAAAATACTTCAAAATTCACTTCACTTTTCAATTGAAAGTCGATCAGATATACAGGGCATACCAGAATCAGCATTCTTTGCCATTAAGAAGCAGCGAAGAGAGAATTTCTATGCAGATAGCAACGACAGCGGTGATTTCACAAAGTCAAAACATGGAATTCCACGGAACGAAATAAAAGTAGATGATAACTTAGTAACAAGGATTACACAAATTAACAGCAAGAAACAACCAAAATCTTCCATGTCCTCCGATTCAGAATCAAATCCTAATAGTAAGGTAACTGAAATGACCACTGATGTTATATCGAAACTAAAATCAAACTCTTTCAATTTCATTAATTACACGAGAGGCTCAAGTGATGATGACGTCGAAGAAAATCTTGTGGAGTTGAGTCAGAGTATGGATAACAATAGTGATGAAAATCTTAAAAGCCAGAAAAGCTTTTCTTCATCAGATTCCGATTCATCAAGTAGCGACAACTCTGACACATATTCCGATTCTGATACTTCAGATTCTGATGAATCAACCGAAACATCTAGTTCAGAGGGTGGACATATCAATGTCTCTATTCCAAATTCAGAGAGTTCCGACAGTAGCGCCAAGAGGAATAAGACAGAACACCGCATAGTTACAAATACTCTCTTATCATCGGATATCTCTGAAATAAGCTATTCAAACTCTGACAGCTCCGAAAATTCCGAAATTGAGGTAAAAAGTAAAATAAATCGCATTCATCAAACATCCTCAAGCTCAGACTCAGATGAACCTAAAATTTTGAGCAAAATTGATGAGAGGAGCTTAAAGAAGTCTAAGAGAGCTCATAAAAAGGAAAAAAATAAAGATGCTGCAAATCACAAACAGAGTATCAAAGAAGCGGATTCAAAACAACAAAAGGTTACAGAATCAAATGATAAGAATGAAATGTTCAGAAATCGCGATCACCAAAAATCGATTGAAAGAAGTAGAATTAAGATTAACGACGATGAAATGGAGCTAAGGGAGTCGAGGAAGAAAGTCAGATCATTCTCTCCCCCCAAAATCTCAGACATAAGCAAGAAACATGAAAAAAGGTTTACTCTCGATCCATACTATGAAGAACTACTCAACAACGATGATATAGACCCAGATCTCCAAAACAAAGTCCTTGAATACGTCGCAAAAATGAAATACACAGATGATCGGAAAACAAAACACAACTATTTGTGGACGAAGGACGAACACAGGAAAGTCGTCTGCGTTCTCATGCATTTTGGGTTCCAAAGCATTGAGAAGTTCCGGAAATTGGCTGATTTACCTTTAAAGAGCGACTCCGAAATCACTGATTATGTGAAATGCATTTTGAGAGCTTCTAAACTTCTGAAGAATAAGAAATTGTCACCCAGATTTCAAATACCCATCGACGACTTGAAATGCATTGCATTTTGTGATGACTTCTTTAGGCAGGCAAAGCAATGTCTCAAGAAGGATCCAGACCTTGACGAATTTGAACAAGAATATATAGAGTATATTCTCAAAAATGGATTTTTGTACATTATTGACAACCCAATTTCCCAAGGAAAGTTCAAAACACTTTTCGAAGCAATAACTAAAGCTCGTCAAATGTTGGGAATGAACGAAAAACTCATAATTTATGATGATTCCGAATCTTCTAATGATGAATCAGATGAGTCTTCTGACGAACCTCCGCCCAGACGCCGACCAGCTCCAAGATCACGACCGACTGTAAACACAAGGACAAGAAGCAGAGACGAAAACAAATCTTCACCATCAAGATCGCCCTCTCCTCCACCAAAACCAAAGCAAAAAATAGAGAGAACAAAATCGCAAGCAATAAAACAAACTTCAATTAAAGAAGAAGACAAACATTCCAAAACTAAAACTATTCCAAAAAAACAAGATCAAATTAAATCCATTACGACAACTGCAAAAATACCAAATAAGACACCATTGGAATCATCTATCGGAAAGCTACAAACTACAACACCAGTTGCAGTACAACCATTGCCAGAGAACCAGATTGCAGTCAGACCGAAAAAGATACCACCGCCACCTCCATACAAGAAATCTGTTGAAGATAATAAAATTATTTGCAAGAAAGGACAGCTAGAGGAAAACATCATTTCTTACAAGACAGACTTATTTTTGGAAAATCAAGATCAAACGTCATCCGAAGAACTACTCGATACATCAGATTTTTCGGACTCAAGGTCACAATTCAACTCTTCTGACTATTCTGCCTTCTCTGAATCAGAGTTCCCTGAATTCGAAAAACAGGAAGAAGATCAACCTGAAATAACTATGGAAAAAACAGCTAATAAAAATCCATTCAGTTCTATTGTTATGAAACGACCATCACAGACATTCATCGCAGATACAGAATCTTCAAGGCGCTCAATTTCTGGCATCTCTTTCGAAGGAGAAGATGACTACTCATCAGATGAAAGCGACAAAAATTATGTTGGCTCTGGCATATCGGGAACAAAAAAGTCTAAGAGGGCAAAGCTACATGATGAGGATCTTTCAGATGATGAAATCATTTTTGATAAAGCAGTAAACAAGGTAAAGAAACGGAAATGGCCACACCGTAATGATAAAGATGAAAATGACCCTAATTTTAATTCAAGGAAGTCGAAACAAAAAGAAAAACCCATTAAATATGCACCGACCGTTTTAACGCTTCCATACTCTCCCAGACCAAAGCTGACAATAATTGATATTGGACAGGTTGTCAATGACGGAAGATGGTTATCAGCTCGCTACAATTACTCTTTGGGTTATAAGAGCGAAGTTATTTATAATTCAACGACTGATGGCCATACGCATGAAATTTACGTTTGCACAATTGAGCAAGGTGACGATGGTGCGCCATTGTTTAAAGTGACGCAAAAAAGTGATCCAACTCTATGCTGGATATCAAATTCTATCACTAAACCATGGCAGGACATATTGACTGATGTTAATAAATGGAGAAAGATAAACCACTTGCCAATTCGACGCAGTTTTATCAATGGCTCGGAAATGTTCGGTTTAAAGGTTCCCAGGGTTAGAAATGCAATTTTGACACCGTCAAAGTCAGAATCATCACAGAAAGTAGTACCACAGAATATGGATGCAAGTAAACAACCATCAAGTATAAAAAAGGATATCAATATTACTGAAAATGATGACGATTCACCAGGTATGAATATTTCTCAAGAAGATGAAAGTATTCAGCCACAATATGTCCCAGTTGAACAAGATTTGATAATGTCAACATCCTCTCCACAAATACAGAATGAGATTCCTCAGTCTCAGCAAATCACCGTTAACAAACAACAGATTGCTGATGTTATTAGAATCAACACAAGAAACAGCGAGGCCCAGTTCGTTTTCGATTTCAATTCCATTATGGATAAAATTAGGTTTATGAAGTCTTTGATTAACCATAAACTATCTATCAGATCAAATCCAACAAATCCAATAGAAATCTGAATAGATCTATCGTTGCAATTACGTGATTTTGTTTTAGATAAATGTATAATTTTTTTTTTCTGAAACAAATTTTTGAAAATATATCACTTCCATATGCACTGTAAGGCACAAATGATCACTTGATTATATTGAATTTTCAATTTAGTCCGAATATGATTTTAATTTTGAAAAATATCTAATCATTAACATTGTTTTTCAAGTATGCATCCTTAAAACCAAAAATAATTATTATAATTTAAATGAAGAAGTAATTTAAAACGATTTTATTTATGATCAAATTTTATATATTTTTTTGGATCAAATCCATTTTAATAGAATTTATATACTATTCATCTATTAGTAAACACTACCGTATATTATTTTTTAAGCTATCTTATTTTTTGAAATTTTATTCAAATCTTTGGTCGCAAGAAGAATTGCATGATAAATAAAAACATTTAATCAAAGTCAATTTTATTTTTCATATTCAAATGGACTGAGTGTTAACATTTAACATTTTTTGCTAATTGTCGTCAAAAATTAGGCGTAAAGCAAAAATTGATATTTCATATGGTTTTATGATAGATAAGCATTATATTCCCACTCATTATATTCGTAAATTTTGAGGTTTATCCTTCGCTTTTAAGATCATTGAATTTGATTTTTATATAAAATAGTTATATATTAGAAAATAATATGAGTTTATGTGATATTATTTTTCAGAAGATTTCATTCTATATGCCTATGAAAAGTACTCTCAAAACTAACTTTTCCCTAATTATAATTAAATCTAGAATATTGTATTATGCTTAGTATTATTTCATTTTTCTCATTCAATTTAGAATTTACAAATGTCAAAAAATTGAGAGCTGTCACTTTTGATGAATTTCTGTTTATTACAGGATGCACTTTCTTCGATTTTTTAAATTTTTGGGATAAATTTTGACATCTTTTTTTTGCTGGCGACCCCCCCGTTCACAAAAAAATATCGAGCGAATGGGGGGGGGTCGCCAGAAAAAATCGAAAATTTTTTTGGTGAACGGGGGGGCGCCAGCGAGAACCTTAAAAATAAACTTCAGAAAAAAAAATCTAAAAAGAAAAAAAGCGAAAAGGCCCTGGAGTCGAACTGGGGAACTTAAGGCTTATACTATGTCTGATGATTATCCTCGCGTACATCTTGCAATGTAAGCCTAAGTTGATCATCAGATTCGACAATTCTACGAAATGTGCCTTCATCTGTTACATCAATTACAGCGTTTGTGTTACCCTCCTCAAAAATAGAATCCATGTAAATGTCCTGTAAATCTTCTGCCGGATCTTTATCAGGAATATGCTCACTTTGAAAGGAACTCAAGGGATCGGCCAAATCTTCTACTTCTTCGTTTTTAACAAACTTTCTATGGAAGTAGAACCTTCCTCTCGGCGTGAGAGAGAATGCCAAACACCATAGCCCACCAAAGTCAGAGTCCAAGGTATAGCTATCCAATGAAGATGCCAAGATGGATCCGAATGCATTATGCAAATTGGATGTCAAAGTTAGTATACATATCATGGGTACGGAGACACTGCGCGCCTCCTTACCCATTATATGTGAATTTGACACTTTACAAAACCGTTAACGTATATTTTACAACACAAACGACAACACTAACTTAACCTTAAATATTTATAAAGCCGCCAACCACTTCACCTCACTACTGTAAAAAATAAACGTTCTCACTTACAAAAGTATTGCAACTCCTCCCATTGCTGTGCTTCACTAACGATTTCACTAACGACTTCACACGTATGAAAACATAGCACAAAAATAAATTTAGGTGAAGTGGTGAGATCTCACCTCTTTTTTCACCCTGTTGAATTCATTGCTTTATAACTCTCTTCCTTTCTCCAACTCTTCTAACTTCTTCTTAAGTTTAGCAATGTTGTCCTCATGAAGTTTAATCTTCCTTAATATACCTTCTCTATCTAATGGTTGCTTTATCTTTCTAAACTGAACTCTACCATCCTTCATAGTATGAATGTAAAAACCTTCTGGAATAGTTCCTGATTTAATGTATTCTACCAAAAACTTTTGTTTCATTGCTTCAGTGACTTTATTTGTCATTTCAATCAAATAAAAATTTTAATATTAAATAAAAAATAACGTTATTTTTTCAGTAAGGAAACGCAGGAGTTTTACGATTTATTTGAGGAGTAGGTTCTGGTTTAAATGTTGGAGTCGGTTTTGGAGTTGACTTTTGAACAGGAGTTTGTACTTCCATAGGTTCAGGAGTCATTGAAGATTTTGCTTGTGAAGGCGTTGGTTTTGACGAAGGTGTTGGAGTTTGTTTAACTTCAGCTACTTCAGTATTATTTACAACATTTGCTTTATTTCTTTTCAACATCATAACTGCTCCTGCTGTAGCTAGCAAACCTAGTGGGAGACCATATCTTATATAAGGACTTGACCAAATGCTATTTTTGACAGGAGCTGGTGGAACACCTAACCTTGGTGAAACTGCTCTTTGCCATTGTGCAGCTCGTAAGAAATATTCAATAGGTGCTCCATAATCGTTTGGTAAAGTTTGTTTCATAGATGGTGAAGGTTCACGAGAGCTTGATGAAGAACTCATTTATAAGCTTTAAAAATAAACGTTCATCCTTTATTCCTCACTGTCGTCCGTAGCTAAGTTATAGTCATCTAATCTTATTATGGGGATGCCATTAGCACGCACCTGAATGGCAAAGCAACAATCCCTCATAAATCCAATAAGTGGCTTTGGTACATTTTCAGTTGCTAGTTCAATAGGTCCTTTAACAGACAATTTGTATGTTATTGGAGCAGTAGATGTTTGACCTTGCTGGAAGCAAAAGTCCACTTCTGTTGGAAAACTACATAAGAAATGTGTGTTGTCATAGCTATCCCATTTATGTTCCACACTACCATCATCCCCAATGACCTCATAACATCTTCATTAAATCCTATCATATCATTGTTTGTATTGCAGGCGTTCGCAACCATTTCATAAAATACAGGTCCATATGATTTTTCAGGTTCTGCAGGCATATTTCCATAAGCTCCCATGGAAAGCTGAAGATATTTAAACTTAGGGTTCTCAAAATTAACATAATAGTTGTCTTTCTTTCTAAATAGTGCCCAAATACTTTAACATTAATAGGCGTATAAGCTGCTGTAAATGTTGCACTTGAACTATCTGTATTCTTTGAGAATGAACCGTCCATAGGAATCCAATCCATAACTTTAACAGGAAAACATAAAGCCTCGTTTGTATAATGTTCTACAAGTTCTGTATAAATGTTAGGGTCTAAAGAGAATGACTTTGGATGAATGAAACATTCATTAAAATCCATCTTTGTTCGAAATAGTTGCTGGGTTACAGTTGCAATAGTAACTGTTCCACTAGCTTCTACTGCCTTCGTTATCATAGTGAATGGTTCATTCCATGGAACAAATTTATTTGTCGGTGGATTTGAATCTGAAGCAAATGCAACTTTAAGAGAGTTGGATTGAAAGCAATGATATCATTTACAGATATTAGATGTGCATTGTAAGGCGTCGCTACTGAACTTTACTTTAAGCTGAATGTTTCCTGCAAAAGCTGGAATAAATCGAATAGCTTCTAATGGAAGGAATCTTCTAACAGGAATTCTTAAACGAAGCTTAAAATCAAATGATTTTCCTGCTGTAATTGGACCACTAACAATTTGTCCTGTTCTGCATGTTCCGAATGACTCCATACATCTTCATGTCGAGTCTTTGAGAAAACATCTACTTTTCTTTATTTGTTCGGTAGTTTGTGAGTTTGAAGTTATATATGCTTCTTCTCTTGCTTGTCTTGAGAATATACGATACGACCATTTGCAAGGATTTGATATCCAGCAACTGCATAGAAAGCATCATCGAAACCAATCCAAAATCCTAGTGGGTTTGTTTTATTGGAACCTGAACCAATTTCTTTATCTACATAAATTGACCTTCCATTTTATACGTAATGAATGTATTGTAAAGGTCCAACATATTTTCACCAGGAGGTGAGAGATTGAATGTTACCCATGTGTTATCTTTAGCAGTTCCAGGTTGTGATGGAATCTTTGCGTCAGAATATTTTCTATTAGTGTCACCAATTTGAACTGCATTGTCTATGATATCGAAATATGAGCGAATCTATGAATATGCTCTGCTGGAGTAAATTCGTTTAGCTGTTCGTTCTGCATGTATTTACTTCAGATAAAAATATCTATTTACTTCATTATTCTCACTCTTCTTCTTGGAATTCGTGGTGGAAGTTGTTTCTTGACATTTTCAATGAACTGTACATTCTCTTTTGTCTCAACTTCTTTCACTGGCGGGTCAGGATTCTTTGACTCGGTTTGTTTTTCAATGAAATTCACGAACTTTGCAATAAGCTCTTGGTTCGTTATTGAAAGTACATCTGGCTTCTTTTCTTCTGGTTCTATTGACTTTTCAGTTTGATTAGAAGGCTTAACATGGGCTTCACCCTCGGTGCCATGCACCTTAATGTTGTCACTTTCTGCATTCGCTAATGGAACCTTTCTTTTTCTTACGTATATTTTACCATCTTTACTCTGACTTACGTAATAGAAAGGATGTTGTATTCCTCTTGCATCATTTAATATAATAGACTCTCGCTCTGATTTTGACAAGCTCATTTTACATCGTTAAAGTTTTAATTTTGTTTTTTATCTGCAGTCAAATGACTCAGACAAGCCCTACGGACAAGACCCAAGGGGTCATAGATGTTGAAGCATTGAAGAAAGAAATTCGTGAGCAAATTTTATCCGAACTGAAGGAACAAAAACAAGAACAAAAGCCAGAGAGACCAAAGAGAAAACTTAGTGAAAAACAACTTGCTGCATTAGCTGCTGGAAGACAAAAGAACCCACGTTTGCTGGCGAAGAAAGCTAGAGAAGAAGCTGAAGCAAAAGCTAAAGAAGCTGAAGCAAAGAAAGAGTAAATGGTTTATTTTTATCCGAATTAAATGTATAGACAAATACCTTTA